GAACCAGGAACATATTCAACAACTTTTGATATTTTTCTTGTCAGTATTTATCTAGATCTACTTTCTGAGAAATATTTGGGAATTTCATTGAAGACATAATGATTTAAACTTAATCTACTACTTTTCCAGTGTGAACGTTTGGTATTGTAAGTGACGTTTCTGCCACATTTACCTACCTTTCCAGTGTCAACCACATATTTAATGTTTGGTATTGTGAGTGAAGTTTCTGCCACATTTGTAGCAACTACTACTAGTCTATGGCCATCAGGGGGCGCCTCAAACACCTACAATATACATAATACATAGGATTTTCCAGAATAACTTTGAGAATATACTGTAGTTATATTTCATACAAATGCACAGCAATCCCAAAACTGCGAACTTATCTTTAACAGAATTGATTTTTTGTATCATATGGCTTGCTTTGCCCTTCCTGTTGACTCCGACAATCCCAGCATATAGGAATCACTTATTCGGGTCATCTAGCTATTTTTCTCAAAAATAAAAAGCAAATCACTAAAAACATTGATCGAACCCAAATAAATGCAAAAACTCAAAATTAATCTGAACAGGAAGCAATATGAATAAGATAAGATATTTACCTTGGCTTGTTTATATGTTGGTAACATGGAGTAGAGTGGAAGGACATAAATCGGGTTCTGTGAGTCACCTGACTCCCAAGATACATCATCCCAGAATAAAATAAGTAGAGGTTATTCTATGAGGGCCAGAATATTGGAATTATTCCTTGGGCAATATAATTGATCATACCATCATAGAATACAATAAATTGAATACAACAAGACTTGTATAAACCTTCAAGTGGAATGCATAGATTTTCAGTTGGGTAAAAAGATGGCAAACCAGTGAACATTATCTCATTTTGGAGATAATCTTTATCATTTGTAGAAAACTTTCTGAAGTCTTGACACAAATTTAATTTTATCTAATTTCATTTCCAATTTTGACGAACGTTATAATCTCAACGTTTATCAGTAATCTAGTTATTGTAGAAATTATTGATAATCTTACAAAAGTATCATCGTCAACAGGCTCTGAGAGCTCTTCATCTGATTGGTTGTTACCAAGACCACCATGTTGCTCCGACAACTCATCATCTTCAAGGAGAACAGAATAATCATCAAGTTGCACCCTGGGAATTTTTGTTTTCTTCTGACTAGAGTCTTTGTCCTTTTCCTGGACCACTGAAACAAGTTATTTAATGATCCAATAAAGAACACAATTTACTACTTCACATCAGCGTAACAACTTCTTGCAAGTTAATGTTGTAAAAGTTCACCTGTCTTTCGAAATAACATGATTTTTAATCAATTTTACAATTTCAGACTGGAAATCTTTACAAACTGAAATAAGTCAATTAGTTCTTAGTTCTATAAATTTAGAATTCCAAAATCTGCTCCATTCCTCTTCCCTTTCTTCCCAGCCCTAATTGATCAATACAAGCACTTACATACCTTTATTCTTTGTGTTGGTTTTCATAGTAATAATGCTATCAGTGCTGCTTGTCCTCAATGTGTGTCATGGTTATACTGGCCAAACAAAATTGGCTTACCAAACAATCATTATTTTTCTTTCAAAAAGAGCGACATGAAAGTTTTTCCTATAATCTTGAATATTTTAATACGATACAAAATGTCCCACACAATAAACAGAGAATACTTGGATAGAAGCTATGGTGAAGGACAAGATATTGGGATGATATATGATTGAATTAAATAATTTAAATGCTCTCTAAATGTACTTTAAAAGAGATATATAAGGGTTATGTACTGGGAGGTTTTGTATCTCCCGAGTGACAGATGTTTTCCATACCTACTGAGGTTCTTGGTACATAATACCTCATAAAATTCCAAAATTCAAATACGTACTTTAAAGTACGCCTTTTCACGGTCTTAAAAGGTAGTTTTTAAGTTTGTGAAACTTTCAAACTCATATTTTTCCGGAGCAGATCAATGAATTGATATTTAAAAGTTAAAATAAAAAAAAAAGTTTGAAATATAATAAATATTTCGTGAATTGAGTAAAATGTAAATAGAGTTTGCTTTTCAGAAGCGGGTCCGGGATGAATACAGCGTGTATCAATCCTGGTCCCGGACCTTGGTGAACGCTCCCTAGATACACTATATATTCCCGCTCGTTATGTACCTAGAACATCAGTAGGAATACATGGAGTTATAAGAGTGACATGGAATTACTACTTTTGTTTTGATTTAAATCCTAGTGTCTGATGAAAAGAAACATTGGTACATGTTGACAGAAAATGAGAACATGAAGATTTTTAGTTGACAAACTGACAGGCATTAAGTTACCAAATACAGGAGTTCGATTGGTATGAAGTATTAAAATTAATATACAGTTACATAACACAAATGAAACATTAATTTGTTTTTAATAATTTCTCATTTCATATTCAAATAATTTTTCCTAGTATGCCTAGTATGTACATGCAACACCCAATCATAACCACTGCCTGTCATTCAACATTATTTACAATGTTTTAAACTGTGTTTCCATAGCAATACTGCCAGTCCTATTTCGTTGACCATATGGCTTCTAGTTTTAAGTGCCATAATTGTAGGATCCACTGTAAAAACAGTGTTGCCATAGCAACACTGCCACTTGTCTATATTGATGACCACCTTGTTCTAGTTTTAAGTGCCGAGATTTTGCCACTGCAAAAAACATGTTGCCATAGCAATACTGTCAGTCCCATAATGGTGGCCACACTGCTTCTAGTTCTAACTGCCGAGATTGAGGGATCTACTGCATAAACCGTGTTGCCATAGTGACACTTTCAGTCCTATAGTGATTGGTGGCCACATGGCTTCTAGTTCTAAGTGCCGAAATTGTACGATCCGCTGCATAAACTTTGTTGCCATAGTGACACTGTCAGTCATATAACGGTGGCCACATGGCTTCTAGTAAGTGACGAGATTGTGAGATATGCTGCATAAACTGTGTTGCCATCGCAACACTGTCAGTTCTATAATGGTGGCCTCATGGCTTCTATTTCTAAGTGCCGAGATTGAGGGACCCAATGCATAAACTGTGTTGTCATAGCAACACTGTCAGTCCTATAATGGTGGCCACATGGCTTCTAGTTCTAAATGCCGAGATTGTGGGATCCACTGCATGTAGGCAGATAATAAATCTGAAATATAAAAAAAATGATCCTCTTGAAGTGTACGAAAAATAGCTATGTTGACTAGTGTTTATTTCAGGTGAGTCCATTAAAAAGGGGTGTACCATGTATGTTTCCAAACAACGGACCATCAGGCTTAGATAAAATACAAGAAACAAGTGTTGCCAAATAAGTCTAGTTACATTAAAAAATTGAAAAAAAAATCTAACCTACATTGATACCTTGTTTGGTATGAACAGATTTTGAAGAGATGTAGCATATGCTTCAGTACATATTGTATTGGAAAACAGCCATTTACTAAATAGTCTAGGGTCAAGTTTAATACATCCCTTTTTTGTATAAGTATCCAATTAAAATCTAAACACACGTTTCAGGAGGGGAATCTTAACTAGGAAAGAAGTGTAGCATTGTCATTGGTGTCCCCTTATACTTAATTGAGTCAATCTTTTATTTGATTTTGGTCTCTTTATATAGTACAGTACCCAACTTTCAACATTCATATAAGACTTTATTCACAATCAAGTATTGACATCATTAGCTACAAAATCAAGTGACTTACATGTAGGTTGACTTTCCCAGATCTTTAACAGTTTAGTTTTGCAGTCGACTTGTTCCATTAATAATTCTTAATTAATAATGCATCTCAAAGATATGTGCTACATTATTACTTACTTGGCCCATGACTTATTCATGGTGGCAGGCACAGACAGCAGATCCTCTCTGAAGCACTTCAGCTTCGGACATACAAGTCCCTCTAAAAGGAACCTAGCGAAATACTTGACACGGTCTATGCACTCTGGGTACTACAGCTCAACTGAAGGGATTTCCCAACAACGGACCCCTGTAATAAAGTGTCTCTATTAACATACAACATATACCAATGGGAACCTAGCAAAATACTTGATGCGGTCTATACACTCTGGTTACTCCAGCTCAACTGAAGGGATTTCCCAACAACGGACCCCTGTAATAAAGTGTCTCTATTAACATACAACATATACCAATGGGAACCTAGCAAAATACTTGACGTGGTCTATACATTCTGGGTACTCCAGCTCAACTGCAGGGATTTCCCAACAACGAACCCCCGTAATAAAGTGTCTCTATTAACATATAACTTATACCAATGAAGCAAAATGTCTCACTTACCATTATTATCATTCAGAGCATCATCTTTAAAGGCAAGTTTAACAAGGCAAGTTTAACAAGTCACCACCTGCTATTTGTTACAGATGCTAGTAGCTAACCACCGAATGCTGCCAATGAAACATCAAAACAGCAAATATCATCCATAAAAAAGTTGGAGAAGATAACTATATGTCACCACTTGTGAGAGAAGAGATTTTTCAAAGATTATGGATGATACAAATAAAAATATCAGGGAACTTACCAAATGTACTCGTCATGTGTGCGAGAACATTCCCTGATAAACTATCGTATCTTGGCGGAGGTGAGTCAAGGGGTTTAGAAAATGTACAACCATGGGGCACAAACACTGGCAGCCACTCTGCCTCTATCACGGAAACACCTACAATATTGGAGAATACTGTAATGATTTTCAGGTTTATATAATTATGCATGTACGAGTTTATATATTCATTACATGTATATATCATATCAGTTCTATTCGTTATCTGCCATTAAGTTTGTGAGTACTAATAGGTATGTGTTAGTATATAAACGCTTGACATGGTGCCAGGTGTTGGATGTTTTTCTTCCTTCTTAGCACCCTCTCTCTGGAAGTTTCCCTTTTCTCTATCTTTATCCTCGTCATCTCATCCAAAGTTTGTCCCATTTATCATATGCAGTTATGAAAATACAATTTAGCTGATCTCACCTCTCATGTAGAGTTTCGATGTTTCAGTGATGTCTTGGAAGACGACATATTCATGGTTTTGTTTGTATAGCACAGAATTTGGATGTATATAGACAGGCTCTTCTAGGTGTATACTCTAAAAAAAGTATGTAAACCTAAACAATCACAATGCCATTGAGCATGGAGCAGTGATATCCCGAGCATTAAAGCAAGTGAGTCGAGTGACCACTTGTATTTTGAAATAGGTTTGTACCCACTTTATATCTGATTTGGACACACTTGAGAATGAGAAAATAATGGAACTGCAAATCAAGTGAACATAGACATTATGAATCAAAGATCAGGAAATATTAGCACTTCTTAATCAGGCTCAAGTATGTGCAGATAAAATGGCCTAAATCTTAAGTCTGGATATTGAAAATATTGTTGTAAATATTCAAACTATAAACAACATTCTATTGTCTTCTCAAGTAAGAGGAAAACAATAATACAATTCTGTTATGTCAGGCTCGTACCCAGAGGGGGGGGGGGGGGTGAGCAAACACCCCTGGCTAAAAATCCTTTGAAAATCATGCAGTTTTTCACCATTCTGAGCACTTTCCAAGTGATTTGATCTTTTTTGGGCTAAAGTAGTCAAAAGTGAACCCCCGAAAATTTTGAAAAAGTGACCCCCCTGGCAAATCCTGGCTATGAGCCTGTATGTGACCTGTTTGACAAGTCGTATAATGAGTAACATTGCAATGAATTAATAATGATAGGCCTACATACAGAATACATGAGACTAACCTGATATGCCATCTTCAACTTTTTCTTTTCTTCATTTGTTCCAGTACTTGGTTCTGGAAGTTTTCTGAAATATCAGTCAACAAAGTAGTAAAATTAAACACCACATGACTCAAATCCAATTGTCCATGCTCTATTCTAGATAACATTTCTAAATTCTCACTAAACCAGAACAACGGCAACGCCAAAGCGTAGCGAATCCCATCGAACAGAAATGGCTGGCATTTTTACAAACGAATAGCAAATATCATAAAACAACACACCAGAAAGGCCACCATTTTCAAAATGGTTGCTCACTAGCCAAGTTGTCATCAGAAGAAATAATATGCTTTTAAGTAGCCACCTCTAAAATTTTTGAAAATTCATACACGTACTTGTAAAATAACACACATAAAAATGGTGGCCATTTTTCGAAATGGCCGACTACTCCCCAAAGTTTTATTAGACAATGTGCCATGCTTAAAGCATTCACATATCAAATATGAACAAAATCGCTCCACTACTTTTCAAGTTATAGTAAAATACGTTCAAATGGCGGCTATTTTTCAAAATGGCCACCTTTTACCAAAAGTGTCATTAGAATTAGACAGTGTGCCATGCTTATAGTATTCACACACCAAATATGAACAAAATCGCTCTACTACTTTTCGAGTTATAGTAAAATACGATAGAATGGCGGCCATTTTACAAAATTTTTTTTAAAATGGCCGCTTTCTACCAAAAGTGTCATAGGACAGTGTGCCATGCTTATAGTATTCACATACCAAATATGAACAAAATCGCTCCACTACTTTTCTAGTTATAGTAAAATACGTTAAAATGGCGGCCATTTTTCAAATTTTTTTTCAAAATGGCCACCTTCTACCCAAAGTGTCATAGGACAGTGTGCCATGCTTATAGTATTCACATACCAAATATGAACAAAATCGCTCCACTACTTTTCGAGTTATAGCAAAATACGTTAAAATGGCGCCATTTTTCAAATTTTTTTTCAAAATGGCCGCCTTCTACCAAAAGTGTCATAGGACAGGGTGCCATGCTTATAGTATTCACATACCAAATATGAACAAAATCACTCCACTGCTTTTCGAGTTATAGTAAAATACGTTAAAATGGCGGCCATTTTTCAATTTTTTTTCAAAATGGCCGCCTTCTACCAAAAGTGTCCTTAGACAGTGTGCAATTCTTATAGTATTCACATACCAAATATGAACAAAATCGCTCCACTATTTTTTGAGTTACAGCAAAAATCGTAAAATGATGAGTAGAGGCCGCCATTTTTCAAGATGGCTGCCATGTGCTTCTTTAATATCTACATATGTAGCATTATTAATGTCCTTTATAATTTTTTTACATATAAAACATATTGCTATTACAGTTTTACATATTGCACCTAAATTACTGTAAAATCGGCACTAAAATGTCCGCCATTTTGAAATGAGCGGCCATTTTGAAAATCGGCTTATGAGCAGAACTTATACCCCCATAGGATATATGTGTACAAAATATGAACAAAATCGGGCCAATGGTATTTGAGTTATTGCCCGGACGGACGGACGGACGGAGGCATTCCCTATATCCCTCCGAACTTCGTTCGATGGGATAATTATCAAATCTTTAACTTGGTTTAGCAACTGGGTATTTTGAGGAATTACTGAAATTAAGTAATTTTTTCTTAAATGTGAAATAAATACCTTGCAATGTGATCAGAAAGGCCTGTCAGGATTATTTGACATAAAAGTTTTGCCTGTAGTTCACTAGGGGGCGCCATCTTTGGATCCATGATAACATTAGCTGCTGGTAGAACTGAGTATACTACAATAAAGATAAATAACTAGAAAACGGCAATTCCCTGGAGAAGCAAATCCAAACATTTTAAAATTCCATAATACAAATGAGCAGGAAGTAGAAGATTACTGTCATATATTGTCTCCTTTTGGCAAAATCTTCACCCATGATGTGCATGACACAATATAAGACAATTCCTTTTGGAAAAGTATATATGTCCATAGGACATCAGCCTGAAAAGTTTTGGACCCTCTCTAAATTTAGCAGCCATTTTGTTCTAGAGCAAAGGTGTCATTAACATTGATTAATAGCCCAGAAAATTTGAACCAAATCCTTGACTTGCATCTAAGTTATCAAAAATTACATTCTTCATGACAATTGGAGACAATGTCAAATAAGTGGCCAGCTTAAAAATGTTCTTGTGAGCAGAGGTCCTATGTCGCTAAAGTATCAGCATATGAAATTTGAACCAGATCCAGTGACCAGTGTTTGAGTTGGCAAACTGAACTTTACTTTTAAAATTTGTTCATCAAACATGAACAAAATCATCCTACTACATGTATTTTAATTGCGGGTTACAGCAAAAATCATAAAAAAGAAGACCATGGCTGCCAGTTTTTGGAAATTATCACCTATTAGCTGAGTTGTCATTAGACAGTGCAGTATTCATCTGAATAATCAAATAAAATTTTTTAACAACATCATTCTATTACTTTTTCAGAACAGTGAAAAATGTAAAATAACAAATGACAATCAGTTTTGAAAAACTTACTAACCATGTCAAAGAGTAAATTGCTTGTAAGTATTCAAATATAAAATTTCAACAAAATTTAACCATTACTTTTCCAGTTAAAGCAAAAAACACAAATATTACACAAGTAAAAATTGCCAAAATGTCACCACCTGCAAATGGTTACAAAAGTGTAATTACAGATAAGATGTTTTTGTAAAAATTGGTAAATTTGAATAATCAAGTTGAAAAAGATGGCTCTTTCGGCCTTCAATATGTTACCATGGTAACAGCTATTGGCAGAAATATGTTGGAACTCATGACATGTTTATATATGTTGACAGTAAAAATTTGAAGGTTGTTAAGTTATTGGGAGTTGCTAGAATTTGTTACCGATGCCAAACATCTACAAAAAGTTGGATAATATAACAATATGTCACAATATGCGACATGAAAAATAATGAAAAGTAGAAAGGTAACTTACAAGGATGAAAAACAAACAGATCAATTCTTTTAAATGAGCAATAAATAGTAACAATGTTGCGTTGTTATTCATTATATGTAAATATGGAGATGAGGTGAAAATGACTTAATACAAAACTTCAAACAATATTCAATACTTTTAAATGAGCAATAAATAGTTGTGATGGGTTTAATAATGATATGTACATACGAAAATCAGAGATGAAAAATACTTTCAAACATTATTGTTCAATGTATTACCTCATATATAAATATGATGAAGCAAATTCAATCGATTAAATAATGTACTGTTAAAGACATGCTCTACCCTTGTTAATTAGCATATTTGTTGAGATTAGTCCTTATGATACGAAAGCATATATTTAAATACACATTTCGTATGCAGGTAATAATAAAGGTGTTTTCAACTTTTTTTATTGAAATTGTCACAAAATGTACAATATGCAATGAAGATTAAATCCAACAAAAATATTTGGTATAACAGAAATACTCAATTATAAATGGTTGCCAGAGTAATAAAAAATCAGAGGGCCTGGGTCATATAGAAAATGTGTGAGAATGGGATCATACACCCGATGTACATAATAAGTTATCAATTAAGGTATCAGCCACATCAGATATGTAAGTGAACTTGATATGTGTTGTTTATTGCACTAGCAGATATTGTATACTGAGCTAGTACTTGAACATTGTATTCAAATCAACATTTTGACTTGTTTTTACTGCGTACGAATCAACATATTGACCTTCGCTAGAAGAGGGGAGGGGGGGGGGTAAAGCCATTACTAAATTAAATATGTTTTTTTGGCGGACATTCAAATGTTGACCCGGCCCCAATTTGTTCATGTTAAAAGTGAAATGGCACTCTATTCACATAACCTTGTTCTCAGTCGATACTGTGCTCCGGAAGGTATAGCATGTCTTTAAATCACAGTCATATTGCACATAATTATCTGCTTGATGCAAAGCGGCTAAATTAATGATGCATGCAAAGTAAAAATAATGTTTTCATTCTCGAGTAAATCGACTTTAACTGAGCACCGTCAATATCAGATCAACACACATCTTGCTACAATCATGTATCTGAAAATATTGTTCTTAGTATTCCTCGTTGGAGATGTTCATTTACAGAAAAAAGCCAAGAAGCATAGTACATGCAAGAAAACGCATATTGACAACCTAGATACACGCTTGAGCACACAGCTTAGTGAACTTAAATCTGATGCACAAAACTGCTGCACAAGAGATGAAGAACAAATGAATGCAGTAAATGAAAAAGTGGAAAAGGTAAATGATAAAGTGGAAGAAGTAAATGATAAAGTAGAAGAAGTAACTGATAAAGTAGAAGAAGT